ACGCCCTTAGCGGGTTAGATGAAGCAGCTGAAGCAACATGCATTTTTCTAGGTACCATTTTAAGTCCAGACTAAGGTTTTCCTTTAACGTGTGGTTTCTCACTCACAGAGGACAAGGTATTTCCTATCATTAAAAGTAACGAACAATGTAACTTATCCTGTATTTGCACCAAACGGTACCAAACCCCAAAGAGTACATCACCGAATCTCTTGGCAAGATACACCATAGAGCTTTCACACTGTTTACCCGTCTCTGGGATTTAGTGATGACAATGGGAAGTTTCTTTGAAGTCACATACCAGCAGGTATTTCTACTTTTATGATTTGCTCCACAAGGCTAGGATAAGCTGTGGAGGTCTCACATATGTCTAGGAACACGTTTCCACAGAAGACTGGATGGAAGGCCTTCTAACTTGACCTTTATCTTTCTTTCACCCTGTATCTAATAATTTGAGGTATGAGCTAAACCTCAGACTTCCCTGTATCCAACATATGTGTACTAAGTTCTTATATACCATGCACGATGTTAAGAATATACAGTCCTGTGCCACAGCTCTATCGCTAGTCTCTAAATGTAGGGCAACATAGCACTTAGGGACAGTGTAGCCCTTATCATAAGAAAAGTGATTTGCAATCTTTGCAAATCTGTAGCTCATTCTAATAAAAATGGTTCTTTGCCTGAACTTGGGGATCATGGAAGTAGCAAGAAGATTAAAAAGTATATAATTAAAAAACAGAAAGTACTGTCTTTCCAAAGGAAGATACAAGTGTCCACTTTAATATACAGCTTGAATTTCCATCATTTTGAAATTCTTGGGACCAAAAGTTCTAGATTTAAGTTTTGTTTAATTTTGGAGTATTTTCATATATAGGCAAGAGACCTTGGAATAGGATCCAAGTCTAAACATAAAACATTCATATATATATATATATATTTGTATATATATACATATATATTATACATACAGCCTGAAGGTAATTTTACACAGTATTTTTACTGTTACTATGGTTTGACTGTCCCAGCTCAGGTGAAGTCAATTGTAGAATTTTCCATTTACCAACATTAAAAGCTTTTGAGCCTTTGAAGCCCTTAGGGTTTGGAATTTTCAGATTAAAAGATGCTCTATCTCTAAACAAACATTCAAATGAGACAATGAAAGGCAAAAACCCCTCTTCCCATGATCTCACTTGATAGTATTTCCTTACATGCATTCCTGCATGTCAGACTTATCTAAGAATTATATGCAGTATCACGGAATTATTTGTGTGTATATCTTTCTCAAACTTAGAATAATCAAGGAAATTATAAAAGGCTGAAGGATTACAAAAAATGTTTATTTAGTAAATATAACAATGACAATACACATAGAAATACAAAGAACGCGTGCATGTATGAATCATAATTTGAGTTATCGGGTACAATTTTAATCACTGCAATTCCCTCTTCATTACTTCTTATTAAAAATGAATAACAGTTGGCTTCTTTTCAGCATCTGAATTTTACCAATAAGAAAGGCAAAAAATGACAGAGAAATTACTACCAACCTACCGATCAGCACTTTAAGTTATATGTACCATAAATATAACTAGGTACTTAGACCCACAGTCTGTAAACACACTCTGGGAATGAACATACTTTTAACACTTTAACATTTTCTACATTCACTGTTACACTTGCCATAGTATCCATCCATACCTTCCAATTGCCCAGAGTCTTAATTACATCTGGGTTCTCAAGGACTTCCAAAATTTGACAATTACCTTTGTTAACTACTCTTGATTTACTTGCTATGTTAGTTTTCAACACTGGTCCCACCCTTTACTGATTTATTCTCATCCAATAATATCACTGTTATTAATGCTAGGATGGTATAAAGGCACTCTAAATATATTGGCATGAGAAGCTATGGTGGGGGCAAAGTACAATTTACTCCTGAAATCATTCTATGATGGCTACCCATTAGTTTACATACCTGTCATATGTGTAACTGAAGGAATGTTCACTTAGGTGATATGATTGCCTGGTACAGTGTTCTGTCAGTGTGTCTAGCCTGTATGCACCTGCAGGATTTGTTGTATATCATTAATAGTTAATCAGAGGTGCTGTCTAGCATACGACTACTGTTACTACTGTGAGTTGAAATACTCCTACTCCAAAACAAAGAAATGCCTATGCTATTAAGCATTCTCAGACAGTTCATGGACACACTCTTTTACTAGCTTTCACTTATTTTAGCCAAGTGAAAAAAAATTAAAAATAAGCAGTACTGTGTCTCTGCTGTGATTCATAAAAAGCCCTGACAGTGAAAAGGTTTTGATGAGAAACCTGAGTTCCAGCCTCAAGGGTACAAGCTCTTTATCTCAGTGATTAATTTTCTTCATTTACAAAATAAGAACTCTTTCAGATCTCTGAGTCTCTAATTTCTCCAAGTTGAGAGGAGAGAGTAAGCAGCATTTCAATGACAAACAATTTAAGCTATTAAATCTTTCTACTGGGTGTCTGACTACTTGAAGATAACGAATAAAAATATACAATGGATTAGTGATTTTGCAATTATCCTGTTACTTCTTTTATATAACCCACTGTATAATCAAGACTTAAAGTAAGTTTTTGGCATTAATTATTGGCTTGTGCATCAAATTCACATGAACATAGTTAAATTCCCATTTCATTTTGTCCTAGGAGGAAATCTGACTGCCAAGAATTTCTGCAGTTCCCTTTAGCAAGCAGCATGTTCTTAAAGAATTAAAAAATGTAGAGGAGCCTTTTTGAACAAATACTTAAGTTGTTATACTATCTCTCCTTTAATAAGAACCAAAAACTATTTCCAAAGTTCATCTGATTATGCTTGGTGCTCTCAACGATGAAAGTGTCTAAGCATTCCAAATAATTTTGCATAGAATACATAATGTTTTCCATTATTCTTTAAGTTTGGAATCGTTCTGGAAAGGCCTGGGTGAGGTTGTATCAGCCGTATTGTGAACACACCTGTTTGCCAATTCAAATAACTTCTGGTGAAACAAACATTCTGTTTAAACAAGAGGAGTCAGGGAGAGCTGCACTACTGAACAACCAGAGAGTCCTTACTAACACATTACAGGAACCGTTTACTCTACAACTAAATGACTTGTTGCAACAGTATCTCCAAGGATAATATTCCATATAGAAATAGCTTCCTGAGCTCACCAAAATTATTTCTACACTTAGCACACTAAAATTGAAGCTTAAATGGAATATGAAAGGTAAAACTGGGCACTGGATGCTATGTATACGGTTTTATGGGCTCTTACTACAGTACAAAGGAGTTAAGAATGACTACTGGAGTTGAGAGTTGCTTGTGTTGGAGGCCAGAAGATGTAATGGGTGACTGCCTGGGAACAGACGCAACACAAACAGAGGAGGACTGAGGACATTTGGTTTTATACAAACACCTCAAGACATTCAACCCTGACCTGAGGAATGGTGGCTTCAATCATGCCAAACAGTATGGAACTGGGAAATGCAATTCTGACCTATTTCTGTCCTCCAACAAGCTAGAGCTGGTTGGTTCTCTTCTTGTTCTAACATTCTGCTGTGAGATCCACTCAGAGAGCTGATTTACCTACCAGATCTGTGATTAGCCTTCAGCTACAGAGGAATACTGCCTCTCCTGCCGCCCCCCCAACACACATACCTTCCTTGAGAGAATGAACGATTCCAAAATAGCTGCTCAGTTTGGTACTTGTTTTTTAAAAGTTGGGGAGAAGCCTTAAAATACGATCTACCTTCTTGAAAGTATATAATATAGTACTATAGGTAGTTTTAGAGGTGTATATTTATTCCCAAATCCAATAAGCTGTATGCATTAAATATGCACAGTATTTACACGCCAAGCTTCTAAGTGGGATCAGGGGTGTTATAGGGGGGTTGCACTGTATTGGCATTTTTCACCTCACAAACTGATTGCTATTTCAGAAAATGAGTAAAACTGGGCATGTAACTGTGTACTGCCTTGAGCAAACTACAACCTCTGTGGCTCTCACTCACCACACTCTAAGAAATGTCTTCAGAACCTTCCAGGTTCAGAGTTCTATTAAGAAGGCTTTCCAGACAGTTTCCATTGTAAACATTTATTCAGTTAGGGCAATTTAAGGCAGTACCTTTCTCTGCTTCAGAACATCAGACCCCAGGGTCTTATTTTAAAGGCTGACAAAAACTCCTTACCTCTTGGTGGAAAGAAAAAAAAAAAAGCCGAATGGAAACCTTTGCACAAACGCATTGTTTTACAAAAATCAGTAATGGGCCTGCTCAGGCCAGGAATCATTCACTCATCTCCCCCCACTCAAACCTTCTTCAGTGTTTGGATTCTATGTGCTAGCTGTGTGGCAATTCTGGAAACCTCATGTTTTAACTTTTTTATTTTCTTAAGCCACCCAGAGTAATTTCAAGCCCTGTGAGCCTAGTGAAGATTTCTCCCTAAGTGGCAGAAGGAAAGTGCCCAGCCACCACCTGTTTCGCCGAGCTACGAGCGAGCTCCTTTTGACCTATGGCAAAGCCCCAGTTCTAGCACTGATTATCACCAGGCCGGGGGGGGGGGGGGGGGACAGAAATGTACCCCTGGCCCGTTAGATATTAAAGTTGATGGGAGTTAGTTGCATTGGAATCCGGCAACAGCCCAGCTTTGCCCTGATGCAACTACTGCAGGGCCGCCGGCCGGCGCTGTCTGTCGGTCTGTCTGTCTGCCAGTCGGTCTGTCTGTCTGTCTGTCTGTCGGTGGGGCTTCGGGCTTGGGTGAAGGTGAAGGTGACAACTCCTGGCCAGAGGAGGGAATAAAGACATTTCCCGGGCGGCCTCCCTCCGGAGCAGGCTAAAAGCACTAACAAGGGGAGTTTTTGCAAACAGGACGCTGGGACAGGTACAGCCCCCACCCCCACCCCCCGCCCTCCGCCCCGGCCCCGAGAGAGCTGCGGTAGGAGAGAAACCCCGGGGAGGACGGGAGGCGGCCGGAGCCCGCCACTCACCTTCTGCTGCCTCCGGGCCATGTCGGTGGGCTGCTTGGCGTTGAAGGGGTACGCGATGCACCTCACCACGAACACGTACAGCTGCAGGCGGATCCTCCGCTCCTGCTCCTCGTGCAGCTGCCGCTCGGACTCGTCCCTGCCCTCGCTGAGCACCGAGGGGCTGGGGCTCACGGGTCTGGCCGCGGCGCCGCCGCCGCCGCCACCGCCGCCGCCGCCACCGCCGCCGCCCGAGCGCCCCGGCGCGTCCCGCCGCCCTTCCCGAGCCGGGGCCGGCTGCGCTCGCTGGGCACCGCCGGGCGCCACCAGCACATCGCGGCTCTCCTCTTCCAAGCCCTCGTCCGACTCCTCTTCGCTGGAAGAAGGGTCCAGCATGGTGCTCGGGGCTGGGGGGCCCCGCCGATCGGCCCGCGGGCCCCTGGCGGCTCACCCACCCCCCCTCTTCTCCCGGCAGCCGCACCCCGCGGGTCGGAGGGCGCCGCGGGAACGAAAGGGAAAGTGGCCCGGGCGGTGCGGACACGTCGAGTTGAGACGCTCGAGTGTTTTTCCTCCCTCCGGAGCGGAGGGGGCGGGCGGGAGCCGGGAGGAGGGCGCGGAGCGGGAAGACGGGGCGCCGCCGGGATTGAATAGGCGGAGTTAGCGTGGGGGGGGGGGGGGGGATGAGCCCGAGCGGCTCCGGGGTAGCGGCTGGGGAAGCGGGGGGAGCGGAATGGCCCGGTCAGTCCCCCCCAGCCCCCTCCGCCCCGAGCTCCCTCGATGCCCACGGGCGGGCCAGCCGAGCGCCCCGAGCGCCCCGGCGCAGGTGGGGAACCTGTGGCTCCTACAACAAGCAACACGTGGAATGGAATGTTGAGGAGCGGGCGCGGGGCCGTCCCGGGCGCATGCGCGCGCGCCGCCGCCGCGGCCACCGCCGCCACGACCGCCGCGGGCCGCAGGGTGCCTGAACCCCCGGGGGTGAAGGGTGAGGGGTGAGGGTGGCCGGCGGCACGCCGTTCGCAAACGCAGATCGCTGCTGCCGAGCGAGGCCCCGCCACCCAGACCCAGGAAGCGCCCGCACCACCCATCATCCCTCTCCACCCCCCCCCCCCCCCGCCCAGCTCCCTAAGTTAGAGGTGATGGTTGGCCCGAGGGCGGGGGGCACAAGTTCAAGGGTCCCGGAACCTAATTTAAAGCTCTTGGGGGAGGGGGGTGAGCGTCTCCACTTCCAGGGTCGTTTAGCGGAGACTTCGGAAAGCCCCTCGCTTTTGTGGATGCTCCGAGTCCAAACGATCAGCGTTCTGGCGAGTGCATTAAAAGGGTGGGATGGGGGGGGGGCAACTTTTATGTGTAACTTTTTCTTTCCCCTGCGGCTGTGGGAGGCAGCTGCCTGCTAAAGGATGCTCGACTCGGCCCGGGACACGCCCGATGGCTTTTTCTTCTGGATTGGGAGATGAGGTTAACCCCCAGCCGTGTGGACTGGCTCCAACACGCCTGGGCGCCCGCCCCGGGCGCAGCCCCGGCCGCCTCGGGCGCAGCCCCGGCCGCCCCGGGCGGAGCTGGCGCTGCACCCGCGCGGGCATCGCGGCCGCTCCTGTTTCTGGCCTCCAGTGGGCGTCTCGCAGCTCCGCTCTCTAGGGGCGCGGATTTCTCAGAACTGCCAGAACGACCCAGCAGTCCTCAGCGCCCCTCTTCTCCTCCGACGGCAGGAGGGTGCGCTCCGCACAGGGGAGACCGTGCGGCCATCCGGCTGGCTGGATGGCGAGGGCTCTGTGGAACTGAATTAGCACCCGCTCACTAACCACCAGCTCTGAGCCAAATAGCAGTTTTTTACGTTAGGAGTCAGATACACAAGAGACAGGCTTTCCTTCTGCATTCCATGACTTTCTCCCCAGAAGGGGAGAGGTAAGTATCTCCTTCTGGGGAGTCTCTCTGGTCTTACACTAATAAGAGGTCCTCACCAAGAGCTAGCTGCAATGTGATGGATGGGCAACCGCAAAGAACTGGAAATCTTTGAAAGCTCAAGACTGTTTTATTTGGGGTCTAGTACTAATGCATAGCTTCACTGTAGGCTGTAGCTTATGTAGCCATGCTCAAAGCTTCCTGAAAACACACATCTAATATAGTGGCATCTAAGTAACCTTCCAAGGCAGCTGGTGCTAATACTGTGGTTGCCACTGCACCAGGTATTTCACTGAGCTCAAGGAACAGATCAGGAGCCTGAGGTTACAGAACTAGCACGGTACATGCTACAGAATAGCATAATGGAATGACTCAACACAGGTCTTTAGTTGCGAATACTGGATATCCTCTACTGTAATTTGGCTTGATACTGTCAGCATATTAAATTATGAGATGTTTATTAAACTACTGTAATAGCTAAAATGTGAATCTAATTCCTAGGAACATACTTTGTATGTAGCCAAAGGTATGTTTGTTTCCTTTATTAGTTACCACTACATAAAAGCAATAGCTTCATGTTTTTGTCCTACTAAAAAAGATAGCAAATCGGATGTGGTGCTGTGGCTCAAGTGGTAGAGTGCTAGCCCTGAGCTGAAGAGCTGAGAAGCAGCACCCTGGCCCAGAGTTCAAGCCCCATGACCGGCAAAATATAAAATAAAATAGCAAATCAAGAATATTCCAGCTTTTGGGGAACCCAGGAAAACATCTGATATGTTTTTAAGTAACATATAAAGTGAAAATGAAAATAGTTTAGGAGGCTCAACTTATATATCTAAAAGAGAACACATGTTCAGAAACTTAAACCATATCCTTCTGAAAAGGGAGCACGCAGAAGTTTTAAGTAAAACACACTATGACCTGTAACTGTTAACAAGTCCATTCCATGCACAGCAATTTAAGGACAGTGGAATCAGCCAGAGGCGTGACAAGAGGATAAAATAAGAAAAAATGATATATGTTTATGTATGTATAGACACACACACGGGGGGAGGGGGGAGGAAGGAGGGAGAATGAGACCAATCTTGAAATTAAGACAGGACAGGAGAAGGGAAGCTTAAGAAATTATAGTCTGAGCTGAGGAAGAGGGTCAAGAATAGACTTACGTTTTCCAGCTTATGTTTTCCAGCCTGATTTACCATAAATGAAATATCAACTGCTATATCAACTGCTAGAAGACAACTAAAATTAGAGAAGCTTCACATCCTTGAGGAGTTTATGCCATATAACACAGAGAAATCTTAGAGTTCGAAATGCAAACCTGATACTCAACTCTAAATAAGAAAATCATCGGTAGACCCGGTGGGGTGGGGGGTATGATGATATAAGGGCTGGCATTGATTATGATATATTGTACTCATAAAGTGGCACATTGAATTGAAAAAAATCATTGACATGTTGGTGCTAGTTGAAGTTACAGATAGGACTGATAAAAGTCTGAAATAATGTGTTAAGATGCTAGCCATAGAGGGGTCTTCTTAAACTCTTTCTACCTTTCCTCTAATTATAGGATGGTTTAAAGAAAACTTTTGTTTAATGAAACAAAAACCTACCTATTAGCAATTAAATGTATGCCAACAATTTGAATTAAACTTGTCTTGCTCGAGGCTGGCACTCTGCTCCTCTACTTGAGCCATGCCTCCAGCCTGAACATTCAAACTTCCAATTTTGTCTGTACATTAATATTCTTACCAAATGTCAACCTTACATATTAGCTTTCCAGGCTATTATAACTTTGGTTGATGTTCGGGAACATTATTAAAAGCTTTTATTAGTTTGTGTCATTTCATAAATATATGTAATATGCTTGAACTTATTCAATGATTCATCTTTGCTTTTGTAAAGATGGATATAAAAAAATTGAAGGTATACTGTTTTTTAATGAAACACTTCTAATGTTGAGGAAAGATGGATAAATGGTAATAAAGTATAAAATGTGCTTTCACCATGATATGTAAGCAAACATGTAGATGACTTGAATACTTATAACTGGGCTATTTTATGCCTGAGAATTGATTTGTGCATCAAAGTATTAACTCTTTGAAGTCACAGGTGAAGAAGTCATTCTTTTATTACATAAGCATCCTTTGCTATCGATGAACTATCTTGAAAATAAGAATGGCAAAGCCACTGAGAAAATAGATATGAAGCACACATGACAATAAAATAAATAATGATAGTAATATATGTTATGATGTTAGAGAAAAATGGAAATATTTCTTAAGATATTTAGGAGTGAATAATTTACTACCTTTTGTAATATAGTTATAATAACGTTACTTTACTACAGCAAGAAGAATCTTTATCATGTTGAAGAGAATGAACTGTTTTGCAATATTCATGAGAGAACCATCAACTATATATGCAGAAGAAAAATACACTTTTTGAAACTGTAAGTTGAATATTTGAATCCTTAGAAACAACCAAAGTCCATTTGAGTCTCTTTTTTCTTTTATTCATTTCTTTCTTCTTAGTTAGAATCTGAATCCTAGCAGAAACAACATGTTATAGCTAATGGGTGAAAATATATGCAGGTAATAAGCACAAGTTGACTGGTAAATTAAAAGTGCCCCAACACACATTCAAAAGGCTATTGTGAAGATTAAGGTAATAAAATTAACTAACCAACCAGGAGGTGCAGAGTGGAAAATTACAGTTCAAAGTCAGCCCAAGCATAAATGTTTACAAGCATCTACCTCTACTAATGACTGGATATACTAGCACATGCCCATCATCTAAGTGATGAGGGAAAGCACAAACAGAAGGATGGCAGTGCAGGCCAGCCCAAGCATACAGCAAGATGCTAACTAAAAAATAAACAGTGTTAAACTAAGCACCTACAATCCCAGATACTCAGGAGGCTGAAATCTAAGGAGTACAGTTCCAAGTTAGCCTGGGAAGTCCTTGAGAATTTTATTCCCAATTAACCAGCAAAAAGCTGGAAAGTGGAACTGTGGATCAATTGATAGAGCACTAGCCTGAGTGAAAAAGCTAAGGTATGGTGCACAGGCCTTTAGTTCAAGCCTCAGTATCATATAAGCACTAAGAACTTCGAAATTTCATAATTATTTTAAGTAAGTTTGGCTTCAAATAAGCTACCAACCTCCTGCTCCTAGTAAACTTGTGAGTATTCACTAGTAATTGATATTTTTGGTATTTACTTTTCCATGATATGAGAAATTTGAAAGAGTAAACAAATGAGTTGGATTATGAAATTCAGGGAGGGGGAAAATAGAAGAAACACACTGTGATCAATTGTATCCAGCTGTTATGAAGGAAGTCTTGCCTTCATTCAACAAATGTGTGTGTGTATAATTATTTTCCCAAGAGGCATATATTTAGTTTGTATGAGTTCTAAAGGTTTACAGAGCCGTAAACTGTAAGACATTTTGTGGCACAGGGTAAAATTAAGGTATTTTTAAAATTATAAATAGATAAAGCAATAGCTATTTTTCCGTACAGTTTTCATATACTTCCTTTGGTGTGGTCAAACACATTTTCTGCCAGTTAGTAAAATGCTATCAAGTGCCTATTTTATACCAAGCACTCTACTAAGATGCTGTACAAAGAGAATTGCGTGAATT